TAAAATATTTAATATTCTATTACAAGAGTAAACAGATAGTTCCCTATATAATTATCTAATGCAAATATTATACATGTATTTCTAATATGTTTATATTATCTCTGGCTTTAGAAGTTAAGACACTCTCCCATGGTCTAGGCAATATAGGAACCTCTAATTCTTTATTCTACTCATCTCTTAACATCTGCATAACAAACTGACTTATCAATATCACATATCTATAGAAAGCAATACTTTTTTTTACTTTTAAAAGATTGAACAAATTGATCTAGTATCTTGGGTGTTTCAGAAGCTGAAAATGCTGCTGGTCTAAACATTGTTGTTAACAGATGTTGTAGCTGTAAATATTGCCACTGAGCTGCATCAGATGCTATTGATAGATGCTATTTGACTCTTAGCCCACAGTAAGTTAAAATTTTATCTGCATCCTCTATCAACTGATCCAAAAATCAACATTGCTGCTTTTATCCATTTTTCTATATTATCATCATTTTCCCAATTTTTAATGTTGGATTTCCCCATAAAGTCATTTTAGCATGGAAAAAAGGATCAAATCTTTTTTTATTATTCATTCCATTCCATTGCTTTGTAACTGACATAATAGATGCTAGAATGCTATTATATTTAGATCTTAATATTGTCCATCCAACCATGCATATTTCAAAGTGCTCAAATGGAAAACTGAATCTTCCCTCATTAACCGATGGTTGCATTTTGTGTAAAAATATTCTCAGAATCAAAGAACCCCATAGAAAGCATCACCACACACCAAAGCATCAGGGTAGCATCGTAAATATTCTTAACTAGATGTTGGTAATGTTTGTGTTTGTAATTTAAGGCAAGAACTAACATTTTTCATCCTTTTGCTGTATGAGATTCTGACTGGCAGCAGGGTTACCAACAAGGATGGCAGGTTTGCTCAACAATGCTGAGATGTATTGGCACATGATCATACAACCACATATAACAATTACCCAATTAGAGCTGGCAAACATATGAAACAAGAAAAGGAAAACATCATTTGTCCAATCCTAACTGATAGATTAGAGCTGTTTTTAAGCTATTTGTTATGTACCTTTAATACATTTCAAAATAAATGGGTCTTTGTTTGTAACACCTGCTTGCTGCATTCTGAGCATTTTTCAGCCTATTCATAATTGGGACTACAAATTAATAGTTCTTGTCATTTGTGATAATACTGCAGGGTGAAAAACGTCCTGCTGCAAGTGCAGATGGAGAAAGTCACATGGCTAGCAAATATGAAAATAAGCACCTTAATCTAACGCCACTGTAAGAGCCACCTGTCAAATTGAAAAGCAAATTCAAGTCTTTATGCAAAGTTTTAACAGATAGTAGTTATGCACCAAGGCTATTACTTACAGCTGGAGAATATCAACGGGCATGAATGTTTATCCATGGGAAAATTATGTAGCTGCAGCTGGCATTCAGCATTGATGGTGAGCCTAGAGAAAACCAGGTACATATTACTGTCTTGGTATGACAGCAGGCTATAAAAAAATTAGTAACTTGATCATTTCAAAGGCTTAATTGGGAAATTATGAGAAAATGTTTTTTTAGGATTCTCTTTGATGCAACTACTAGGCAGAAACCATCATGAAAGAAGGCAATGGCAATCTCTTCCATATTATTGCTAAGAAAACCACACTGTTATATGGGAATGGGAGGGGGGAATAAGCTACTATTTTATAAATGATATTATGCAGGTGACATGAATTATGCTATTTACACAGTGCTGTCTTCTCACATGTGATATCACTGTGGCTTGCAATAGATACCTATCCATGGATAGGTTCATACAGTCATCTGGCTGATTTTGTTTGGGTTTGAAAACTAATTGAACTCAGGCCTGTTTACTAGTGTTGTCGAGTACTTTGGATTCCGATAGAAAGGGGATCATACATTTAGCACCTATTTGCATGTTTTACACCTATTGTGACTTTTCCAGGATTGTGCTACAGATGTCAAAAGGAACTGCTCAATCCCAGAGAAGATGCAGCCTCTTCATGGACTTCTATATAGGGCTGATTAAATGTCACAGCATGGATCAGAGCAGCTTTATTTTAATTTGAATCTAGAGCCCTAGATTTTAATATTTCAATGGATGACTGTCACAGCCATAAGCTAAATTTGGCACTTATCTTTACCTCTGGTTCTGGGAAATATACATTAACATGCATATGTAGTTATAGGTATATAGTACAGGTAATCCTCAACTTACAATCTTTCAATTTTATTGGTTTAGTCCCCCCACTGAAAATGATGACTTATGATTGTTTTTTATAGTTGCAACTGTTGCAGCATTCCCATGAACAAAATTTGGATGCTTGGGAACTGGCATGTATTTATGATGGTTGCAGTCTCCTGGGGTCATGTGATCACCTTTTTCAACCTTCTGACTAGCAAAGTCAACGGGGAAGCCAGATTCACTTAACAACTGGGTTACTAACTTAAGAACTGCAGTGAGTCACTTAACAACTGTCATAAGGAAGGTTGTAAAATGGGCAAAACTCACTTAACAACTGTCTTGCTTAGCAAAGGAAATGTTGGTCTCAATTGTAGTCATAAATCAAGGCCTTCTCATAATTCTGGCTATGAAAATATTTTAAATTTTTGTCCTATTTGACAGGAATAACAGGAATAACTCAACACATCCCATTGTATAGGTCACTAAAATACATCAGACCTAAGGGAACAAGTTGCCTGAACAGTCCAATTTAAGTCCAAGCTGATTATAGTTCTTATCTTTGAGACAAGGCCCTCTGTCAGCTAAGATTTTTCTGTTCCTGTTATAAAATTGAAATTACATTAATCTCTATAAAAGGGTGAAGGATTATTTAAACTAGCCCTTATTGAAAGACACAAATGCTTCTTACCTTAAAGTATACAAGATTTTCCCATCATTCCATATTCTTAGGAGCTGATTGGGTGTAGTAATCCAGTGAGCTTCTGCAGTTTTAGAATTCCTAAAAATAGTATCTGGGATCCAAATTAACCCAACCATATTGCTGTTGAGAGTGAGACTTTTTTTCATAGTGCTGTTGAAACGAAGACGGCTGTCAGTCCATGTCTGAGCAAAAAAAATATCAATTTGGTATTCCTGCAAAGGAGATTAGATACATATATTAGAAAAAAATTAGAAGAGGCAGATCATCTATTTATTAAAATGTTCACATTTCTCTTAAAATATTATCTTT